TATATCATTAATAATAATGCATTTAATTTATTATTCATATTATTAATTTATATTATTAAATAATATATATTTTAGAATCACATATATTTTTTGAATTTATTATATATTTATTTATAGTTCCATGTGTATAAAGTTATGCAGTACATTTAAAAAATAAAATGAACTTGTATAATAATTAATAATACATTTTATTAATCATATTTTATATTATGAATTATATAATAATAATAATAATATGTAATGTTATTATTAATAACATTATTATACATTATTATGCATAATATACATTTTATACATTGTATATGGAATTATATGTTATTATTACCTAGCTCTTTTAAACATTACCTTAGTTCTAGCTGGCTATTATAAAACTGAGCTTATGTAGAGTCAAAATAAATCACGCTACTTGTAAGCCTCGTATGCTGTATAACATATAATTGTTTATCAACTGTGTATTGGATGGACCGTACTTCCATCCATCACAGCCTTATTTTTATTTGCATCAAATTAAATATGGCATCCACCCTCACGATATCCTATAGGAAGTAGAAATGTTGCTCTCTCTGATGGTCCTTTGTCTTATTTGTCTCTTACATGGCCTGTATCCAGTACAAAGATATGTCAATCCTCCTTATTTGTTTCATGCTAATTTCAGAAGTTCTAACAGTTGATTTCTTTGTTTCCAGGGTGACATCCAGCAGCTGATGATTGTATCGGACCATCGTGCTGCGCTTGACTACTGTGAGCACTACAGCCCTGACTGTGAGGTTCCTGCACCCGAACAGCCCCAGAACCAAGACCCAAACACTGATGAATATGTAAGTTCATGCACAGTACTTCCTTCATGATTCATTCCCTTTAGAGATGGAGGAGCACTGAGGACGTCCCAGAATCCTCTGAACAAAACCAAACCAAAACAGACAGCAGAGATGCGTTCCTTGTAGATTGAGCAACAACCTTCTTGCGTTGGTCCAAATCAGCTCTGTTGAAGTCAAGAACATCTTATCAAGCGTTTGCACACCCAAAGCACTTTTAAATCCTAAATCAAAAATAAAACCATAACGTTAGCCAATAATCCCTAGCCATGGCCATTTTAGTAACAGATATGTTTTAATGGTGAACCGTTATTCAGTTTAAATGGTAAATGATTTATTATTAGTGCAAGTGCTGCTCACATTTTCTTCCACAAATGTAGAAATCTGGTTTTGGTGTTACAGTTGGCATATCTGACAGCACAAAGCATGCACTGTTTGACTATTTATACATTTATTCAGCTTTCATTCAGTCTTTGGAATGAGAAACAAATTAAAACGGCGTAATAATTCCTGCCCACACTTGTGTGTGTGTGTGTGTGTGTGTTTCAGGCGTATAAATTCTTTATGGCTCTTTCCATCTCTTCGGAAAAGACCCAGTTGCAGGCAGTCTGTTTAGCATTTATTTTTCCAACCGAACGAATGACATCATGAGTCAGAGAAACGAAAGAGAGAGTGATAGAAGGAGGAGATGAGAGTGCTGAAGCAGGTCTCGTCCTGTAGAGCGCTTGGGATCAATATTGCTGACATATTTTATTGATAACGTAAAAAATGTAAAGAAAATACATTATTTGACAAATTCATATTCGAGTCTTTCTGGTAGAAATACGAGAAAGCTAAATATTACATTTCACATTTGTGACAAATTAAACCTTCAAATTTTGCCAGTAGTGCGTTTCTAGTGGATTTGATGCTTTAATCACACAGATAATAATTACTACACTGCGAAAAATGCTTTTCTTACTTAGATTTTTTAATCTTGTTTCCAGCCAAAATATCTAAAAATGCTTATATCAAGAAAGATTTTCTAGACAAGTAAAAAATATTGTCTTGTTTTCAGAAAAAACAAGTGAAAATTAAGTGAGTTTTTGCTTGAAACAAGCAAAATTATCTGCCAGTGGGGTAAGAAAAATAATCTTGTTTTCTGTTTGAAATAAGATTATTTTGCTTACCCCATTGGCAGATTATTTTGCTTGTTCTAAGCAAAAATTAACTTTAATTTTGACTTGTTTTTTTCTGAAAACAAGACAATCATTTTTACTTGTCTAGAAAAATCCTTCTTGATTTAAGAATTTTTTTTAGATATTTAGGCTGGAAACAAGACAAAAAATCTAAGTAAGAAAAGCATCTTTTGCAGTGTATATTTAATCCAAGTTCATTCAGCCTGGGTTAACAAATATGTATTCAATTGACTGCATTTGGAAAATAAACTTTTTCCAGTTCTAATCCTGCATATATAGTAATAATGCAAAACACATAAAAAAATCATAAAGTCATTATTTTGTCACTAAATAAAATTCTAAATTCATGTTCAAATCTTTTTGGTAGAAATACCATGCATTTTAAATGTGTAAAATTAGTATTATGTCAACATTTATGAGTATACCAAAATATAGATGAGCAGACATGAACTAAAAACCACAAAAGTACCATTTTTATTTCATGGGGTCAGTTGAGTGTTCATATTCAGTCTCCGTCCATCTGGGTTCATTCAGATGCCAATATCCTCTGAGCACTACAGAGAGAGGAAGAGAATGCATTAAATGAAAGGCTGAGAGATTTAGCATGTGAAACAGATGAGAAAATAGTTTAAGCTGAATAATGTTTGAGATGGCCAAATGTTTGCTATTGATTCTCTATGGGAGCTGAGCAAACGTTGGGCTTGAGGGAATTGTGGGATTGACCACGGGGCAAAACGAATGGTGAGAATGTCAAAAGTGGAGAAATGCTGAATTTAATGCAAACGACAGGTGAGAAATCACACTTCACATTTATGTGACAAATAAAACTCTGAAATATTGTCAATAGTGTTGGAGTTTCTGGTGGATTCAATGTTGACCGCAAAACATTACAGGCAAAAATATTGTTTTTCAGGCATGTGTTGTTTCAGAAAGAAAACATTCAAAATGCTTAAAGTTTTTATTTTATTGCACTTTATCTATTTGCGTCTTTTAGATCTCAAATTTTGTAAAATTTTCAATACATATCTTTAAAGGTCGTTTTCTCACAATTTAAAAGTTCTCAAAAAATAAATTTTCCCACTTCAGCAGCACATACACCAAACTGTACAGTTTTATTCATTTCTATATTCTGAAGGTTTTTACTAAAATGTTCGTTCATAATATATAATTTGACTGGTTTTATTCTTAAAAACATGGTAAAATGCACTTCTTTAAAGGCTTTGAGTTTCTTTCTCAACTTCAGCAGCACTTGCATGTACCAAAATTTACAGTTTTATTCCTATCCATATTCTGAAGGTTTTTACTGAGGGATTTGTTCATACAGTATATATTTTGCCTGATTTTATACAACTTTTTTTTTTTTATTTTTTTTACAAAAAACATGGTAAAAATGCATATCTTTAAAGGCTGTTGAGTTTTTTCTCCACTTCAGCAGCACTTGCATGCACCAAAATTTACAGTTTTATTACTAACCATATTCTGAAGGTTTTTACTGAGGGCTTTCGTCATATATCATTTGCCTGGATTTATGCAACATTTTATTCTTAAAAAACATGCATGACTTTAAAGGCTGTTGAGTTTTTTCTCCACTTCAGCAGCATTTGCTTGTAGCAAAATTTACAGTTTTATTACTAACCATATTCTGAAGGTTTTTACTGAGGGCTTTCGTCATATATCATTTGCCTGGATTTATGCAACATTTTATTCTTAAAAAACATGGTAAAAATGCATATCTTTAAAGGCAGAGAGTTTCTTTCTCCACTTCAGCAGCACATACATACACCAAATTTTACAGTTTTATTCCTATCTCTATTCTGAAAGTTTTTAATGAAGGGTTTGTTCATATATCATTCGCCTGGTTTTATACAACATTTTATTCCTGAAAATTTTTTTTTTCTGACTGTTGACAGTATTTTCTGATTTATGGAGTAATAAAAATATATATCTAAAATTCCTTCGGTAAAAACCTTTAACTCTAATATGTCAACAAAACGAAACAAGAATTTTGAAACTGATATATGCCAATTAGGGAATACATTTAATTTAATATATAATTAGATAACACCTCATGTGCATATTTAAATATGACGTTCCAGAAAACATGTAATACAAAAAACATTTGCTATTCTTAATGTAATCAATCAACTGGAGAAGAATGGTGAAGTCTGTTAAATATTTGACCCTGTTCACCTGTAGCGTCTTGCCTTAAATCACACAGTTATATATTGCTATATTTAATTCCGGTATATTCAGGTTGGCTTGACAAATGTTAAGTTTTAACAAATGTTAAATGTCAATTGAATTCAATTAAATGTGTATTTGACTGTGTTTGGAAATAAAGTTTTTCCAACTCTAATCCTGCATATATGCATGTACCCTGAGAATCAAACCCATGTCCTTGCCGTTGCTAGCGTCATGCTCTAACATTTAATATTCAGGAACATAAATGACCAAAAATTAAAACACAGCTGTCAGTAATCTTCAGAAAAGTAAGCTTTCTATCGAAAAACTGTTGTGGCCAACATATGGTAAAGTTATCTCTGAGCTATGCCTGTAAAACAAAATTATATTCATGTGACTGCAGCATGTGGTGCATTTTCAGCCATACATGGACTTTTACATCTTTCAGGGCTTTGATGTCAGCATGTTGGCACGGAAAAGACCCTCTGCTGACCTCACGTTCACCTTTTTCAGTTTTGTGTGTGTCAGGAGCTGTAAATCTGAGTGTGGGGTATTAGTAGGGGGCAATATGAAAGAAAACCGCATGCACCGTCCTTTGACCAGTCCTTCAAAAGCCGAGTCCATCACTTCAATAACAGCTAAACCTCTTTACAGATGAAAACGTGATAAGTTATCCATTGCTAATGTGTGGGAATTTGGGAGAGAGAGGCAGAACGGTGAATCCGAGCTAGAGGTCGGCGAGCAGTTGGAATTCTTCACGTTCTTCTCTTTCTCGTTAGATAAGACTGAACATGGATTTCCGCTGGACTCAGTCGGAGGGAATCCCTCCTTTCCTTTGCTCTTTCTTCTCAGGGGATTTCAGTCTATTAAATCAAGAGCGCTGAATTGCTCAATTCGCATGCCATGAGTATAACTCATGAATGAGAGTATGAAATCCTGTCTGAATGAACTGAATAAAATAAAAAATGAAATAAATACAAATAAAATGTCCTACATATCATTTGTCATTCAAAGTGTCAGTAAATATTTAGCTATTTATATATAAATTTATACATACTTGACATCACGCACACACACACACACACACACACAAACATATATAGAAAATATGAAACATTTTATATTCAAATATATTTACATATATTTGCTCTCACTCAAATATAAATTTGAAGATAAAATGATGGTTGTGCTTTTTTTGTTGAGGTTGTTAAAGAAAACAAATTATGTTAACATATGATGCATTCACATCCTGTCATAATTACCATAATTACAAGATGTCTATGCTTAAGAGACTCTTGAGAGACTCTACTCAACTCATGTTCATGTCCTCAGGCTCAGAAATCATTTGTTTTTTGTATTTCTCATATTGCCAAAATAAATCCATGTGCAGCTTTGTATCTTTTCGGGTAGTATGTGGTGGGATGTGCTGTTTTCCATCTGAAACGAGTTTAAAAAGCATTTTTCAAACATGATTATTATGCATGCAGTGTGTATGATCTCATTCCATGAGACTACCTGGAATATTGCCAACTATCCATATGCACTTGCAAAAGAACTAAAAAAGCTAAAAATGAATAAATGTACTCTTAACACACTATAGAATATTCATATTAGTGGCACATTTTTAGGTAGCTTTTTTCTGGAACACTGGTGATAATACAGTATTTTAAAATTTAATAACACTCAATATTCAACATTTATCTTCAGAACACAGAGGATGATAACTACTATTACGAATATCCGTACTATGAGGACATGGATGCAGAAAAGACAGAAGAAACGACAGCCGATGAAACGACTGGAACCGAAACTGAAGACCTAATGGTCAGTCTTATTTTAGTACTATTCTTTTATGTACTGATGTAGTGTTTTGTATATATTTTGAATGAGCTTTTATTTTTATGTTTTCAGTTTTCATTTTAATTTTAGTTTAAGTTTTAGCCATTTTTTATAAAACATTTATTTTTTCTGTTTAGAGTTAATTTATTTTTGTAACAACGTTTGTAGATCGGGAAGAAGGAGGCGGGAACCGGCGAACACGTAAACAAAACTTGAATAATAAAATAAACACAAAACAGCGCGACAGCCCCTCGCGGATGACTGTTGCGCACAACAGAACCCTCGCTCCGTTCCCCCGGCTCTCGGCCCCGCCCCTCTCGTCACAATTTTATTATAGTTTTAATTAATTTATTAATTATGGTAGTTATAGTTTTACTAATTTTCACTACTTTCACTACTTATTACTATCATTTTATGTCAGCTTTATTTTTAAATACCGAAAATGGAAGGCACTATTGCTCCACTAACAACGGCACTGTTGCTCAAAATTATCATCGATAGTTCAGTTCCCAGCATTAGTTTGAAGATAATTTTTTTTTACATCTTAAAAAAATAACATTTGAACAGAAATATTCCTAAATGGGATCAGCTGGATTGAAAAGGAATCAAGAAATCAGTGCATTCATCTAATCATTCATTTTCAACTGTTTTCAACCAGGTGTCTGTTCCGGATAGCGGTCGTGTGGTTACGTCAGTTATCACTAGTGGAACAGGAGGCTCCAGCAGTTCATCGAGTAGCTCCTCGTCATCCTCCTCTTCATCCTCTTCATCATCCAGCTCTACCACGAGTACTGGCGAGGAACCGTATGATGGCTACGATGGATACGAGACCGGATACGAAACATACTATGATGAGACGACCTCACGGCCTGATGGCTCCCGGACCATCAGAATCACTAGCACAGGCACAGGTACCGGTGGAGAAGTGGATATGGGACTGGTCGGTGAGGTGGATATGGGACTGGGAGACCTGGACAGGCGGATCATCACATCATCATCATCATCATCATCATCATCAGGAGGAGGAGGAAGTGGAAGAGTACACTCAACTGTCACAGTCATTAACAATGGAACCTCCGGCTCCAATTCTGGCTCCGGCACTGGCTCTAGCACCAGAATCATTACTAGCTCCAGTTCCGGCTCTGGAGTCAGTACCGGCTCCAGCTCCAGCTCCAGCTCCAGCTCCAGCTCCAGCTCCAGCTCTACCTCGGTGAGTTTCGTTGGAACTAGTGATCCGAAACAGTTTCACTTTTAAGTGAGAATCAATTCAGTCACATATAAATATTTAGTGTTTAGTATAATGTATTAAGGTCCTATTTTACTGAAGTGGATTTGACTGAACTCCAGTCTAATTCAGATATAATCTTGATTTTATTGGTAACATTTAATAATAATTTTTTTTAATAAATGTAATTTTATTTTAAAATTATATATATTTTAAATATTTTAACTATGGTTTAAATATCTTTCATATATTTTGCAAGTTTTTCTTATTACTGCAATTACTGCATTGTTTAGTATAATAATGCATAAATATCCTATTTTACAGAGGTGGATTTTACTGATTTCACTCTTGTTTAGTTTAGTTTAGTTTAGTTTAGTTTAGTTTAGTTTTGGTTTGTTTTGTTTTATTATTTCACGAATTTTCTATGTGTTTTAAATGTCTTTAAAATGTTTAGCAAGTTTTGCTTATTATTGCAATTATTGCAACATTCTCTTTTATTAGAGCATGTCAGGAACATGTCCAGGTTATATTTCATTCCGGTTAATAAAAACAATTATCTTGTAAATTTAAGTCTTAAAATTTTGTTTAAAGAAAATAAAGCCTGTTTTAGGACTGTAAAATTATTGTACTACAGGATTGAGAATCTAATGAGAATCACCATTGAAAATATTAGGCAAAATCGTAAAACTAAACTATATGTGCTTTTTGTCATAATAATAATGCCTTATTGTCCCAAAAATATTAATTGTCCCAAAAGTAGGCTTACTTTTCGTTGTCTTTGTGATATTCACACAAACGGATTTCAAATTTGAAAATCAATAGATAGATGTACATCCAGTGCACAAACATTTAGTTATGAATGTTATGATATCTAAAGCCTTGTGTTTGTCTGATGTGTAGGTTGATGGTGGTTATGATGATAACCTGTACAGTGAGGGTCTTGATCTGACCTATGGAGAGGGATATGGAGAAGGATACGGAGAGGGAGAGTATAATGTGGAAGGAGGCGGCGGCAGCACCAGCACTTCAGTGTCCGTAGGGGGCGGATCTGTTTCTTCGAGTGGCTCAGTTGGGGGCGGATCCAGCAGCGCTGGGGCCAGCGTGGGGGCGGGGTCTGTTGCCACGGGAGGACAGGGGGGAATTGGTGGAGAGACAGACTCCATCGATATCGACAACTTCAAGGAGGAGTCCATCACGGATTACACCGAAGCAGACCTGGAGAAGATGTATGATTATGACAACCTGTACCCTGACGGCGACAAAGAGCTGCCCGCCGAGACCGATGAGATCTACGGACAGGTGACCTACAGCTCCACCTACCTCTGTGCAAACTTATAGGAATAATTATTTTACTAGTCTTCATGTTGTTCCAAACCTGTATGCCTTACTTTTTTCCCGTTTAACAAAAAAGGAGAATGTACTTATAATTCCTCACTTTGTGTTTCACGGAAGTCAGACAGGCTTTGAACAGCATGAGGGCATATAGTTCATTTTTGGCTGAACTACCGTAGCAAGTTGTCAGAATTGTTTGTTTTATTTATTACCTGCAATTACCTTATTATCTGCATTTATTACCTGTTATAATCCATATTGTGGTTACACTGATATACACTGATCTGGATTGAGTTAAACTGAGTTTGTGTTTCCAAAGGTGGATGGACTGAGAGGAGAGAAAGGGCAAAAAGGAGAGCCTGCAATCATTGAACCCGTAAGTGTCACTTACTATGCTATACATATACACAACCGTTCAAAAGTTTGGGGTTGGTAAAATTTTTCTGCTCACCAAGGCTGCATTTATTTGATACAGTAACACAGTAATATTATTAAATAATATTACAATTTAAAATAACTGTTTTGTGTTTGAATATATTTTAAAGTGTAATTTATTTTTGTGATGAAAAGTCTTCAGTGTCACATGATCCTTCAGAAATCATTCTAATATGCTGATTTGCTGCTCAAGATTTTTTAAAAATTATTATCAGTGTTAAAAACAGTTGTGCTGCTTCATATTTTTGTGAAAACCATGATATATATATATTTTTTTAGAATTCACAACACACATATATATATATATATATATATATATATATATATATATATATATATATATTATGGCTGTCAACCGATTAAAATTTTTTATCTAAGTAATCACACCCTTTTTCTGTGATTAATCGCACACTTCATGAAATTAAGCATAGACCATTTATCTTGTTTCAAATGTTTATTTTGTCATCATTTGCTATATCTAGCAAAGTAAACCAAAAGATTGAAGGGTGATTCTCAAAAATCTCCATTTTCTGCAAGCTTTTTTCAAGATAAACATTATCGTGGATGTGTGTGGAAACAACGTGAATGTACGGAAATGTCTGTGCCTGTACATAATACATACATAATACAATGTGTGATCAGTGCATCAAGAGCACTCATACACGTATTATTATTACTGACTCACGCATGCTTACTGTACTGTATGACTCCTGTATGCCACCACAATCGTCTTTAGCTTGATTGTAGTCTTCATCCATCAAAACTTTACTAGCGAGACTGGTTATCCAGTCGAGAAACCGTAGTTTGCGTCTCATCTGGCCATACAGCGATGGGATGTGTTGACAATCCGTTCAGTCTGTACTTCACACAGCGCGTGTGACGTGTGAGGGCTCGCGCTCTTCAGAGACAATCACAGAATATGACAGAGCTTGTGTTTTAAAGCGAAACACACTGGAATGAATAATTCACTTAAAACGCAACGCGTCTCTGTTCTCTCTGCAATCTCTGATGTAATCAGCCTGGTTTCCTTTATGTTAGCACTGTTTTGGACAGATTGTTTGAATGCATTCGCTTAATGGATCATTGGACTGAAAACTTTCCTGGAGTTTAGCAGCTTAAAATGATCTGATCGCAAGCAGAGAAGCAAAAGTGGGTTAAAGGGTTAGAATAGAAATTGTGCTTCCGTAATTTTGCGTTAAATAATTTTAACGCGTTAAGGATTGTAAAATTAATCGACAGCGCTAACATATATATATATACATATATATAAAGAGCACAAGATGAATGACAATATAGAAGTTAAAAGCATTTTAGATTTTTTCCTGAGGTGTTTGGCATATTGACAAACCTCTATTGACACAAACCCAAGGAAGGTTTCCAAGTGTGGTCTTGCATTTATTACATCTCACTTTCACATCCTTCCAATTTTGCATTCATGCACATGTTCGAGCAGCTTAGACTGAGACACGTGGATCAGTTGTCTGTCCCGGATTAATTTTGGATTTACACCTGATTTGCGTTTTTAGTTCTAAAGGAACAAGTCACTCCTGTTTCAGACTCTGCAGTGTTTCAGATTCGCAGATGTGTTCACCATGCAATTAAATTTGCATGTTGGGAATGATTGTCTGTCTTTGCATTCAGTCTCTATTGCTCACATGGCTCTTGATGTCTAACAGCTGTGAGACTTCAAACAGATGTCACTGCAAATCACTGCAAACAAAAAATTGTTTTTACATGACATCTCCCCAATTCTTACATTTCTGTTTGATGGAAATTAAAGTGTTGCAATGAAACAGTCATTACTTCTGCATATACCAGAATCTAATGCTGCGCTTTTATGGGAGTGTTATTTACTTGAAGACGGAACATGAAACTATGATTTTTCAAATAGACAAATATAAAAATGCACTTTAAATAAATGACATGGCCGTTTCACTTTTTTCAGTGTACTGTTACAGAGATGCAAGAACAGATCAATGAGAAGATCAGAGTTAAGGAAAAGCACAAACATGCAGATCAGGACAGCTGGTTTTAATGAAGGATGACCATGTGGTTTGCAGAGAGAAAAATGCTCAAATCACATGCTTCTTTCTCTCGTTTCGGCTCACATATAAACACACACACACACACACACACACACTTTGTCCACTCACACTTTGTCCACTCTGTGCTTTTGGGCATGTAAGGAACGCACCAAAACAAAGCGAACATGCCCACTGCCACGACAGCACACTCGGACAATGCCTTCAGGACAGAGCTAAGACCCACAGCATCTTTAAAAAGCACCAGATTAGACCAAGATTTTATAACAAACAAAGGCCGTTTGTTCTTTTTTATCTAATAGTTCTCTGGATCTTAAGTGAGGCTGAGCTCTGCATATGTAATGATCCTGCACGTTGGGCTCTGGACCTCTCAGTGACTGTAATTCAATCTTCATAGACTTTTTGAGATAGTTGCACTGTTGTGGTTATGACGCAACTCATGCAAGCACATTTTGAGAAGTAATTGATCATGGCTGATGACTTCCAGACAAAATAGCTTGTATGTCCTGATACTGATCGCAGTATATTTGGTTACAGCTGATCCGATTTAATATGATTTTCCCAAACATATGTGCCATGATGGAAATCTTTGTATGTTTAAACAATATGCAGTGTCTAAAACACCCTCAATCTTTTACCTTTTAAAGGCAGCAATATTATACACCATGTTTAATAAACGAGTGTTTAATGAATACATTTATGCATTTAGTAGACGCTATTATCCAAAGCTATTATCCATACAATTCCTTCAAAAACTAAAATAGTTCATTAGTATAACTTTATCCTGTTCATGGTTATCAAGCAACCATTTATTGCCTGTTTTACAACAGTTTTGTCACACAGGTTTTTGATAATGGCTGAAAATTCTACTTTGTGCTTTTATGCCAGAGTCTAATATTTTTGAGGCATGATTTAATGGACTGTGATGGTTTTAAATCCTCTAGGACTTTAGAGTTGATTCTTATAAAGAAAATACAGTAAAATAAAAATTTGAGATGAAAAAGCTTTTTAAAAAATTAGGAATGCCGTGGCAACTAACTGAAATAAATAAACTTTAATTTGCAGTACTAAAATGACTAAAACTGAAAAAAAAAAAAAAAGCTATAGAAATATAAAAAACATAATAAAAATGCAACAAAATTACTAAAGCCTAAAATAAAATGAAAAAGGTAAAATGTAAAAATACTTAAAAAAACATTTGCTTTTTTGTTTGTTTGTTTATTTATTTATTTCCGACAATCTCTATTACTAGATATCAGATTACTGTAATGTAGTCTAATTTTAAAAAAAGTATTCTTTTTCTGGCACAAAACCGTATTAATTATTTATTAACAATATTAATGATTGATTATTAACTATTTAACACCTAAATACAACTAATAAAACAAACATTTACTGTTAACTAAAAGTAAAACTATTAAAAATTGTTTCGGTAATTGAAATAAGGCTGAAATAAAATAAAATATAAGTATTAGATGAAAAATGTCAACTTTAAAAACTTCAAAGAGAATTAGAAATAAATGAACTTGAAGTTGAAGAATTAAAATTACTAAAACTAAAACTGAAATAAAATATATTAAAGCTATATAGAAATATATAAAAAAAAATAATAAAAATTACAACCACATAACAAAATTATTAAAATATAAACTAAAATTAAAATAAACACTAAACGTATAAAAACAAATGCTAATTCAAAATAAGTTGCAAAAACGTTCCATATATTTTCCCCTTATTACATTATGCTACATTTAACCTGTTTTCCTCATGAAAAGAGCAGTAGTAGATGGCATGGCATTCCAATCATCCAGTCAGATTTTTAAAGTGGAACCGTAACTATCAGATTAAATCTAGAAGTTCTGGAATGTTGAGTCAGGTATGCTGCAGTCTGACGATCATCTCACATGCTTCATAAACAGTCAGCCATGAGAAGCAGACACCAGTGCTTTAACAGACTTCCTGATGCTGCTGTTTGGTATGATCGTTACAGAGAGCCGCGGCCAAGTGCAGATCTCACATACACACAGTCCACAGAATTGTAAATGATTTTGACCAAAGCTGTGGTGCTCTCACACTTCAGATCTTATATTGAGGTTGCAGCTTGTGTTTATGCTGTTACTCTAATGTGTTTGTATTTTTTTCTGTTCTTATAGGGAATGCTGGTTGAAGGCTCACCTGGTCCAGAGGGTCCCACAGTAAGTCTACTTTCCTTCCAAAACCAACCAGTTGAACTGAATCCTCTGAGTCAATTGATTCGCTAAAACAAACCTTCCAATCCATCCAGCTGAAATGAATCCCTTGAGTCAACTGATTTGCTAAAACGAACCTTCCAAACCAACCACTTTAACTGAATCCTCTGAGTCAACTGATTCACTAAAACAGATCTTATATTGAGGTTGCAGCTTGTGTTTATGCTGTTACTCTAATGTGTTTGTATTTTTTTCTGTTCTTATAGGGAATGCTGGTTGAAGGCTCACCTGGTCCAGAGGGTCCCACAGTAAGTCTACTTTCCTTCCAAAACCAACCAGTTGAACTGAATCCTCTGAGTCAACTGATTCGCTAAAACAAACCTTCCAATCCATCCAGTTGAAATGAATCCTCTGAGTCAACTGATTTGCTAAAATGAACCTTCCAAACCAACCACTTTAACTGAATCCTCTGAGTCAACTGATTCACTAAAACAAACCTTCCAATCCAACCAGTTGAAATGAATCCTCTGAGTCAACTGATTCGCTAAAACGAACCTTCCAAACCAACCAGTTGAAATGAATCCTCTTAGTCAACTGATTTGCTAAAACGAACATTCCAAACTAACCTGAGTCAACTGATTCACTAAAAACGAACCTTCCTTGAATCCTCTTGAGTCAGCTGATTCGCTAAAACGAACCTTCCAATCCAACCAGTTGAAATGAATCCTCTGAGTTAACTGATTTGCTAAAATGAACCTTCCAAACCAACCACTTTAACTGAATCCTCTGAGTCAACTGATTCGCTTAAACAAACCTTCCAAACCAACCAGTTCAATTGAATCCTCTTGAGTCAGCTGATTCGCTAAAACGAACCTTCCAAACCAACCAGTTCAATTGAATCCTCTTGAGTCAGCTGATTCGCTAAAACGAACCTTCCAAACCAACCAGTTGAAATGAATCCTCTTGAGTCAACTGATTTGCTAAAACGAACATTCCAAACTAACCTGAGTCAACTGGTTCGCTAAAAACGAACCTTCCAAACCAACCAGTTCACTCGAATCCTCTGAGTCAACTATGAACCTTCCAACCAATCAGTTGAACTGAATCCTCTTGGTCAACTGATTCGCTTAAAACGAACCTTCCAAACCAACCAGTTCAATTGAATCCTCTGAGTCAACTGATTCGCTAAAACGAACCTTCCAAACCAACCAGTTCAATTGAATCCTCTGAGTCAACTGATTCGCTAAAACGAACCTTCCAAACCAACCAGTTCAATTGAATCCTCTGAGTCAACTGATTCGCTAAAACGAACCTTCCAAACCAACCAGTTCAATTGAATCCTCTTGAGTCAACTGATTCGCTAAACAGACCTTACAAACCAACCAGTTGAAATGAATCCTCTTAGTCAACTGATTTGTTAAAACAAACATTCCAAACTAACCTGAGTCAACTGATTCACTAAAAACAAACCTTCCAAATCAACCAGTTCACTCGAATCCTCTGAATCAACTATGAACCTTCCAACCAATCAGTTGAACTGAATCCTCTTAGTCAACTGATTCGCTAAAACAAACCTTTGATGGGTCTGATGGCTCTTTAAGGACTATAACAACATGAGTTTGAGAAATAGAGCAATGGAAAGAGTCCAGCAGTGATCTAGAGTCCCATGTGTGTTTGTGTGTTTGCGATGGCTTTATATGTGTTTCTGACAGTACCGTTGTGTTGTTTTAGGGTCTCCCCGGTCCTCCAGGTTCATCGGGATCCCCAGGTAGCCCTGGAGAGCCCGGCGAAAGGGTAAGTAACCACGACAACAAAAACAAGATATTGAACACATTCAACAGCACTTAAAATTGTGTTCTGCAACATGTCCAAGTTTGTAAAATTGCGAACAGGGTCAATGTCTAAAAACTAAAAGAAATGTCCAGATATTTTCAACAATAAATTAATATATTTAATTTGTAATATATAAATATATACATTTGTAAATTTCCTACAGTAAATATATCAAAACTTAATTTTTGATTAGTAATATGCATTGCTAAGAACCTCATTTGGACAACTTTAAAGGCGATTTTCTCAGTACTTGTACCGTTGTGTTGTTTTAGGGTCTCCCCGGTCCTCCAGGTTCATCGGGATCCCCAGGTAGCCCTGGAGAGCCCGGCGAAAGGGTAAGTAACCACGACAACAAAAACAAGATATTGAACACATTCAACAGCACTTAAAATTGTGTTCTGCAACATGTCCAAGTTTGTAAAATTGCGAACAGGGTCAATGTCTAAAAACTAAAAGAAATGTCCAGATATTTTCAACAATAAATTAATATATTTAATTTGTAATATATAAATATATACATTTGTAAATTTCCTACAGTAAATATATCAAAACTTAATTTTTGATTAGTAATATGCATTGCTAAGAACCTCATTTGGACAACTTTAAAGGCGATTTTCTCAATACTTTGATATTTTTTTGCACCCTCAGATTCCAGATGTTCAAATAGTTGGATCTCTGCTAAATATTGTCCTAACAAACATACATCATAACAGACCATACATCAATGGAAAGCTTATTTATTCAGCTTTCAGATTATGTATAAATCGCAATTTTGAAAGATTGACACTTATGACTGGTTTTGTGGTCCATGGTCACACACACAATACAAATGTATATATTTAAACAAACTCATATATTATTTAAATTGTAAAGTACATTTGTAAACTACAATTATAAGCATAAATCATGTTAGTATTTAATTTAAGTTCTAACTAATTAATATTTATTTTAAAGTAATGATTGTGTTCAAAGAAATATATATATATATACAGTATATATATATATATATATATATATATATATATATATATAT